TGCTTAACTTTATTTTTGCTACTTGGTCATATTGGTAGGAAGACTTAGAGGAACGCACATAGTCCGGAGTTCATTGTATGCATGATCATTTCCAAAGTCGGAATGTAGACGTGGTATATTCCCAGACGTTTCGCCGGCATCGTAGTTGGCATCGTCAATGGGTCAGGCCATTCTTAGCACCACACTACAACTCGCCAAAAAGACAAGTGAAGCTGATCCTTTGACCAAATGTGTGCTAAACAGTTGTATATGTCTCCTTCCGTCCTGGGCTATTCACCAATCCTATATCCTCGTAACACGCCTTCACTATCACAATTTATCCTTGCTTATTTCAATCTGATCAACATTCCCAGAACAAGCATGAAGGGGAGTGAGAACGCTAGCATGAAGTGTAAAGGGTTCTCATGAAAGCCGCTCAAAAGTGAACATCACATTACATTTAAATAAGCAAGAAAGAAAATTGTGATAGTGAAGGCGTCATACGAGGATAAAGGATTGGTGAATAGCCCAGGGAAGAAGGAGAGAAACCACAAATGGTTAGAATACATTTGGTCAAAGGATCGGCTTCGCTTGACTCTTTGACAAGTTGTAGTGTGGTGGTAAGAATGGCAAGACTCACTGACGATGCCGGCGAAACGTTTGGGAATTAACCACGTCCACGGTCAGACTCTGTAAATTAACATTCATACAATGAACTCTGGACTATGTGTGTTCCTCTAAGTCTTCCTACCAATGTGGCCAAGTTGTGAAAACAAGGTCAAACAACTTCTAGGATATATATGGCTAACGGATATCAAAAAGAAACAGTACAACGAAACGTATGGATTGTGGTGAGCAGATGGAAGGATGCTAATTAAGAAATTAAAGCAATGGAAACAGGAAAAATGATGTAAATTTCTGCCCTTCTTCAAACTGGTCTATGAGATGTAGCCACTACTAATGGACTAAAACAATTATACAGCCTTGAAGGAAACGACAATGACTTCCAGCGGTTTGCCCACACATCAAGTATACAGTCAACAAAGAGGAAGACCCTTGAGATTACAGCTTAAATTGCAATGGACTGTAAGCAAGAGTGCATCGGAAATATGAAGGTGTATAAAAAAGGGACTAGGGTTGCAACCGGCCATCTTTTCCCTTGGTCTAGTATATTTTTTCTCTATTTTGTAAAGTATAGATTCTTGCTCTGATGATGTCTGTGACAGTTCTGACGAAAATTCAACACAAGTTCTTCGGGGTCGCAGGACGGTGAACCGAGGAATTCTTCGCATAATCCAACAGTCTTCCAGCCTCGGCAATCCTTCTTCGGTTACCGGTAAGGCCACATCACGAATTCCTTCCAGCCAATTTTTCCTTCGAAATGAAAAGTCATGTGACGGTAAAACGGAAGGACTGGTAGAACATTCGGCACAGGGATCAAAGAACATCAGTGGCTTTGCAGAATAATGTATACAGTAAGATCGGAAACAGCTGAACACATTGCCCTGACTGACTACGCTATTGACTGGAATATAAGGAGAATACAAGATAATTGAAGATCAGGGTAACCATTGACATCCTCTTTCAAAGAATCCTAATGGGCATAGGATTGAAAGTGGGAAAAATCAACGAGGAGTTCGCTTATGGCCTAAGCAAACTTTGAAGTCCAGCTAGGACAGCCAAAATAAGACACTTTAACCAAGGACATGAATTCAACAACTGATTGAGGGTAGTTATCAACCAACGTACACATGCACAAATGACTATAATCCTGGGTTTAGATCGGACTGTCGACTTGAGAAACGAGAGAAATGTAGAAGTTGTTTTGACATTGTTTTCGCAACTTGGTCATATTGGCAGGAATATCTAGAGTAACGTACCTTGCATGATCATTTCCAGAGTCGGACTGTTGACTTGGTACATTCTAGACGTTTTGCCGGCATTGTAGTCGGCATCGTCAGTGAGCCTTGCTATTCATAGCAACACATTACAACTTGTCAGAGAGACAAGTGAAGTCGACCCTTTGACTGATTTGGCTCTTTCGTCAAGGAGATTGCTTTTACTTGCCACCTTTATAGGTTATCACTCTAACCTAAATGTGGCGCCTCTCGCTGGCAGTGCCGACTACGGTGCCGGCGAGACATCTGGGAATATACCAAATCACTGGCCCGTTGCTGGACATTAAGAATTTTATGACAGAGGACGCAGGATCAGGTATGTTCCTTAAGGTCTCCTGTCGCTCCGACCAAGTTATGAATACGAAGTTGTACCAACACTATACAGTTAAAGGAGACTACATCTAAACCTAGGCTCGCATCCTCTTGTACTTCATATCTAAGATCTAAGAACAGTTTGTCGAACTTACCTGAAATAACCTTTACAAGTTCCAGCTTAAACCAGTGTCTTCAGAAGGAAATATACAAAATAAAAAGTAGCAGGAAAGATCTTCAAAGAATCATCTTCAGGAGACTCAGTTAATTATGCGTTTGGGTACCATAAGCTGCTTCTAAGCACCATTATCAAGTGCGCCTACCTATTCATGATCAGCGTACTCTAAATCCAGACATGTTAAGTCAATATGCAAATCTTATTTGTAGAAATGATGGTTGCTCGCAGACTGCTCAGGTGAGTGCTTTCGCAATTTGGCCAGGGCAGTAGGGAGACCTGGTAGAAATTACCAATTCCTACATCATTTGCCATAGCAACCATTATAAATTCTTACATCGAATTGTGGACTTGACTAATGACTAGTGTGTCAGATGAAGTTGAAGTAGGTACAGTCTAAAAGCTGTGAAAATAAGGATACACCAGCACCACCTTGGTCTTCATATCTGCTATCTTTTTAGAAAGTGAATTTTACCTATAATATTTTATTGTAAACGTCGTATTCCAGGTAAAATAACATATATTCAGGTGCATTTTTGTTGCCCCCTACTGTATATAATAACCATTTTAAAACTAATTTTGTTAAATATTAAGAAATCTGTGTAGTTGTATTAGTTCTGGGATTTTTAACCATGAC